ATTTAACTGAACTTTTTTAACATGCGTCCAGGGCCTCCTCTAACATACCCACTGGGTGGGCAAATGCCCACCCAGTCACCACAATTGCCCACCCAGTGGCGTCGATTTGCCCACCCAGAAGCAAATGCAAAAATTCTGGTCCGGCCGGACGTCCGGTACTACCTTTCTGGTCTTAAGCAAACTGGATGCTGTTTGAAGGTCAAAAAAAGTTTTCTGGTTGCCCGATATTCAGGGGCGTAGCCAGGATTTCCTCAAGGAGGGGGCCAAACGCACAGGGGCCCAAGATAACCCCCTCAAAATCCAAAAAGCCATCTGGTTGCATCCAATATTTTTTGGAGGGGGCCCAAATAAATAGGAAAAAAATATTTATTAACAAAAATATTAGAACTTAGGGGGTAAGCAGTCCATGGGCCCTGTTAGATAGGCCCACGAATAGCTTCATAGAGTCGCCAGTCGGTTTTGAGGGCGGTCTGAGGGCCCGTAGGTCGGATGAGGGTTCTTCAGACCGTCAGAGGCCCCTACAGCGCATGAGAGCCTCGTAAGCCGTCTGAGGGTCATATAAGCCGCCTAAGGGCCACTAAGACCGACAAAAGCCCTCCTTGCACTTGCAGAGGCCCAGTCATGCCGACGGAGGGCTCTCTCAGACAAACTAAGGACCCGTTCAGGGCATTTGAGGGCTTCCTCAAACCGATAGGGGCCCCTCAGATCGACAGTGGATCCGATCCCAGCTCCCTCAAACCGATATAGGGTCAGACCATCAGTCGGAACGCATTGATTCTGTTTACACACCGTTGGACCCAAGTTGGACCCATCCCATCCAACTGGCCCCCTGGTTTCAATAGGGCCCCAAGGCTCTAAAATTGGGGCTCTCTTGGCCAAAGTATAACTACTCAGCTGTGTCAAAGGATCTGCCGCAGGGGCCTTTGCGTCGCCAAGGGCCCACTGTGTCAGCCAGGGGCCCCTATAGAATAAGGACCCCTGGCTTCCAGGGGGGGGGGCATGGTCCCTTTGGCCCCCTCCTTGGCTATGCCACTGCAGTTGACAAACGTTCTTCCAGGCGACCAGGGGGCAGGGGCCAGGCGACCAGGGGGCAGGGGCCAGGCGACCAGGCCCCCAGGCGACCAGGGGCCCCCAGGCGACTAGCCCTCAAGCGACCGGGGCCCCCTAGGCGACCAGGGGCCCCAGAAAACCGGGGGTCATCGGATGAGTGCAGGGGCCCATTGGGTCATCAGAAGGCCAGAGAAATGAAACTTCGATATCAATTTTCTTCCGAGTAAAAGACGTTTTATCCAGTGTTTGAAAAAATATCCCGGGGCCTGAGGGGCTCTCCCATGGCGCGTTTTGCGCTCAAGGGAGGGGGCCATTGCCCCCGTGGCCCCTCCCCCTTGGCTACGCCCCTGCCGATATTGTTATTCATGGACAAAGCCAGCTAAATCTCTAAATACGGCTGAGCTGAACAAATAAGCAAGAATCATTACCGGTTCGGGTAGCCTTTACTACAATGTATTATGTTAGTTAGCCCTCGCCCGATGAGGGGGGTTGATGCACCCCCCTAAGGTTTTTCACAAATAACGTAAAAACGGCGGCGCTCAAATTTCGCATACCCTCTGGGGCAACCTTTTGGCACTTGTCCTGAAAATTTCAGGTCTCTAGTCTTTTCAGGTCAAGTCACCAGGTCACAAACCCGGTACAAGGTCAGGGGAAAATTGGACTAACAGTTTAGCGGCAACCGAATGCCAGAGTTTTTCGTTGATAGCGTGAGATCTATAGCACGTAGCGCTACCAAATTTAAGACACGACTTGGAGCATCTGTTTGTCACTTGGCCTTGGAGTTTTAGGTTCCAGTGACCCGAGGTCAGGTCACAAGGTCACAAAAACTGGTGCATTGTCAAAATAGCAAGAATACCGAATAAGAATACCTACCTACCACGCAGTTTGCAGAGGGCTGTACATGTAACTCTGGAACGAATCGCTCGAGCATTGCTAACCATAAAACATACGACAAACGTTAACTTTGCAAACTATCATCTTATTTCCAATAAAGACACTGCTTATTTCGCCTCACCCCCGCCCCCCCCCCCCCCCCCCGGTAACAGGTTATGAAATTGGTTGAACCCCAAAACAGTGGCTGGATCCACCCTTGGGCAGGGGAGTAGCGAAAATTTTGCCCACCCAGTGAAAAATCCTTAGAGGAGGCCCTGCATGCGTCGGTGGCAAAAATGTACTATAATCCGCATTATTTGGTTTGGGTCTTTGGAAGGTTGGTAATAATGACCAAAGCGCAGCTCGTATTTGCGAAGTCGTTACGTTTAGGGTCGTACAGGTCCCCAGGACAGTAGGAGTGCCGCCATCGCCAAAAGGATCGGCAATTTCGCTTCGGCGTCAGCGGGAAGGGAAGGCCCATGCAGAGAAGATAAGATCACCGGTCATGAATTGTGACGTCATTAATCGCCTGCCATGTTCGGCAGGCACGGTCTGCATTGTGAGCAGAACACGGCCGTTCACTAACGATTGAGACGTTAACGACGAAGGTGACGTAGCGAGTAACGACGCATGAAGAAGTGCAAGTGAATTTTATACCGATATAAAGTCAAAAGCAATGAGATAAGGCGGGAGTTCATTATCGTATTCTCAGGTAACTCTGATAACTCAGGTAATTTAGGTAACAGGTAGAGTAGCTCGGAAGAGCTAATAGAATAAGAACAGAACGGTTTCAAGGCAGGACAGACCAAAACGAATCTAAGCTTGAGGAGAGGGTATTGATACCTAAATGATAACGTAACTATGATAGAATAACGTCTGGAAGAACGACAGCCATTGATAGGGCTCCGTTTATAGCAGTATAGTCACAAATCCAGCTCTCCCACGTTGAGAGATCCAATGAGATCATATCTCTTATCATAATTTTGGTCGAAACAGAAATGCTGTCTTGGAAACTTTGCCACAGTATGAAATGGGTCTGTTTTAGGGATAATATAATACCTTATGTTTGATAATGTTGGCAAGCGCTTTTTTGAGGCTCATTGTAAATAAAATGATAATAGGAAACCGTAGCCTCATAATAAGGTTCAATATATTGCCGAATATAATTATAACAAAGTGAGACGACAGTTTCGGGCGTAGCCCATTATCAAGTCTCTTGATAATGGGCTTGATAATGGGCTTGATAATGGGCTACGCCCAAACTGTCGTCTCACTTTGTTATAATTATATTCGGCAATATATTGAACCTTATTATGAGGCTACGGTTTCTTATTATCATTTTAATATAATACCTAGGCATTATGATCGCAGTTCGCTGAATAGGAATGTGAAATGTGTTCACTAAAATAGGAATATGTTTATTGCTATAACCCTCGCCGGACCTATTGGTTTTCTACATACACGCCGGCCGAGGGGGGGGGGGGTACGACCCCCCTCGCCGTTTCGCCCCTGGTGGAGCTAGCGCGTCGCGGAAAAAAACGAGCGTGTGCGCCGTTACGAGACGCAGAGATTGGTACCCGATTTTAAGGTCCTAGGTCAACCGGTGACCTCTGAGGTCAGGTCAAGTGCCCCAGGGTACGGTTCAGTTTTTGGTGAATAACGTCGCAAAAAACGGCCACAGAGCCGCGATTTTGGCAGCATCGTGTTCGCCTCGCTCAGGCGCGTCGAATGATATACTTTTTGTCCGGGTCAGGTCAACTTTGGGTGTTGATCTCAGGTCAAGGTCAGGTCAGCACCCCCAGGTCACGAAGTTGGTCGAAAGAGGTCATGTCGCATATCATTCGATTCGGCAGGTCTTCCTGAGTCCATTGGTGGCTTTCTCGACTCGCTAGCTCAATTTGATCAAGAGTTATTGACGAAAAACTAATATGACCTTGATGACGTCATAAATGACGTCACGCAAGGTCAACATTGCAAAAGTGACGCATCTAACCTTACAAGGAGTGCATAAAATCACGATTCTGTGTGCTTGAGATAGTTGGAGATCGTTCCCGGCACCAGAATAGCAGTTTTCATTTTCCCCCATTGCATTGACTTATAATGGTGAGGTCACGAAAATGACCTGACCTCATATGACCTTTAGGAAAAATCCAAGATATACAAGTTGTGAGACTCATAATGGATACTAGATCCTGCAAGTTTCATTTCCCTGTGACATCTCCTCTGGCAGTGAGGGCGTTGCGAATTTGCGACATCTGAAGACCGTGCAGAGGTTCACTTATGACGTCATAGGTCAGTGATCTGACCTGACCCAAAAATGCGGTTGGTTTCAAAAGATGCGGCTTGGATCAAAGGTCAGGTATGCCAAGTTTCAGCTCTCTATCGCCAGCGTGTCCGGAGCTATCGCGAAAAAAAACCTATGAGGGGGCGGCACCCGCCCCCCCCCCTCGGCCGGCGAGGGATAAGAATAGGTATGTTCCAAAACAACAGACCACCGGACTACCTATGTACCCACATAAACCTACCCGTAAGGTATAGGTGACAGGCTGTGGCCGCCACGCCACGCCGCGGTTGCGCCACGGGACAGGGGAGGCACCCTGCAGGCTGCACCGCGCGTCCCCAGGCGCCGATCGGAGCTGGTGGACATGGCGGCGGGCGGAGGAACGCGGCGCCGGAGTGCGATACGATCGGCTCGGTTGAGGTGGGGTGGTGTGTGCACGTGGTCCACCCGATTAAATATACGGCCTCAGAGAAGGAGACAAATGGTCGGCGGCGATCGCACAACAGATACAGAGGAGACACGTCTCTGAGCTTTGAGAATGGCTGGTAGAAGTGCAAAAAAATGAAAGTGGATGACAGTCATTTGTACGGCTAAGGGAATACATGCGGCACGCATTTACGGATCATTTCATAAGGTACACGTTAGCTATAACATAAATGTAAATAACCATATTTAATCAGGTGCAGCATTTTTTGCTTTGTAAATGTACACGTCAATGCATATAAAAGGCTAATGCTTCATTCGGAAAAAACTGATCCCAAGACCAAATAGCCAGTGGACGAGGGTCCCTCCTTACCTTCCTCCTATGAATATTCGGTTACACCGACATCCGATGCTGGTCGAACTGGCAGTGACAGCCACCGAGCTTTATCGCTGCCTTTTCGCGCCCACTGCACTGTGGCAATCGACCCTCCGTCAGTCACACAGTGAATCGCTGCGCTGAACTTACGAATGCCGACCTAACATAGTTGAGCGCTATCGGTGAGCTGAACACTGAGCGACAGATTCGCCCTCGCGTAAGCAGATCGCCGCCGCCGCCCATCCTACTCAGCTGTGAACCATCACTGCCGTCCCGTGTAGAACGACGGGCAACCCGAGCCGCAGCACCACCCGCCCCGCCCCGCCCCGAGCCGTGCCCCAGCCCCGCGATCTCGGCTCCTGATTGGCTCCCGCCTGGCGAGAGAGCCCGTCCCCTGCCCAGTGCGCATCCCGAATCCCGATCCTCCCAGGCACTGGCCATTTTGTAATCCTCGGTGACAGGGGAAATAGGCCGATATCCTCGAAAAAAACCGCAAATTTACGTCGATTTCGGGCGCTGTGGGGGAGGGGATTGAATTTGCCCCCAATCCCCCCCCCCCTGCCTGGAACCGCCAGTGCCCACTCGATGTTGAAGCGCGCCGCGCATGGTGTGCGGGCCTGCGGCCCATCGGGCCGTTTCGGCGCGGGACTCCCTCGGGGGTATCTAATAGACGTTTTCACGACGGTTACCTGGCAAACATTTCATCACTTGATGCGATTTGATCAAATTAGGAATTCAAAGTTGATTATTGTATTTACCTTAGATGCAGCCTTTGACCTTCAGCTTAGGTTGCACTATGTAGTTGCTTATGGGTTGCTAGTTGCACCAGTTGGCTAGATTTGTCAATTATCGGACATTATTTCCGATTACATTTTAGAGCGTTGAAAAAGATTCATGCTACAAAGATATTTGCTGCCTGAAAATATCTTTTTTAAAGATTTGGCCAGGCTTTGTGCCATTAGCCGTTTTCACGACGGCCATCTGGTACACATTTGGTGCACATCTGGTACAGATTAGGTGCAGATTTGGTCAAATCAGGTTCAGTGTGTCTTTTAGCAGCTATCAGCTAGGGCTGCACTAATTGCTTATATGCCTGCTTTGTCATATAGAGCATCATCGATTAAAACACTGAAATAAATTTATAAAATGAAGATACTTGCTGTAAAAGAAATTAGGTGCAGATTTGGTCAAATCAGGTGCATTCGCTGGATAGCCCGTCGTGAAAACGGCTAATATCAGCAGACAATCCGTCGTGAAAACTGGCTAATACGAATAGCGGAACAATGTAGCCTTGCTCGAGTACGCGAGTGGCCTTACGTTGCACATAGGTACATTATTTGCTAGTTCATTGGAGCTGGGCGTGTCGGCTGCAGTGGTCATTTTGCGCCTCCGTATGTGTGATACGTCTTTATGAGTGAACCCTCGACTGCGTAACCGTAGGCACACGACAAATTTCTGATATGTATTTCACCTTTAATTAGCTAAGTGATTTACAGGCGACTGCATCGTAACCCTGCGCCTCGGCTGTCGGTTTCAATGCTTCCATGAGGTCCATTCATGGACTTGACTCGGAAATTAGGTGCGTGAATAATTCACAACCGCGTGGTTGCATGGCCACAATGAGTGGGTAAAAGACATGGTAAAGTTTTCCGCTTAAACGTGCACAACCTCGATCAGTATAGGACTTACGGCCCCCGTGGCTGGTGGCATTCGGTTGGGCTGCGTCACCGTAGGAACACGTTCTCTGAAAATTTGAGCGAAATCCGTCGGAAATTTTTTGAGAAAATGACGTTTAAGTGACGTCACGCCATTCTCGCTTCAAAAACGGCAAAACATCAAACACCGCTAATATCATTATTTTTAAAGGAATGAAGACGCAACAAAAAGGTTTACGTGATCTACTTTGTCTATCAAATGGCTATCTCAGCTTTTTTTAGTATTATGGATTTTGGCCCAATTTTTTTCTTAAAAAAACTGACTTTTTTGTAAAAATTATAAAATCCAAAATTTCAAGTGCATAAAAACGGAATGAATGTCAGAGACGTGGTCTATGTGCACTTACATGCCAATTTTTAGAAGAATCGGTTAAAAATGTGGGTGTTATTCAAAATTTTATGACTTCACGACACACATTTTTTAAAAAATATTTTGGAAGTTCTAGACCTCGTACGGAAACAAAAAAACACCATTCGATTCGCCGTGAAAAACTGCATCACATAGACCCCTTTTCAGGTCTTAACAACAAACTTCAAAATTTGACCTCACTTGACCTTAACTTGACCTGACCTCGACCTGAAATTCATCCAGATGTGGTCCATACCTATCACTTATTGAGTTTGTGTATTGAATTCTATGAATAAAATGACCAATAAAACACATGTGTCGCACATGTCCCTTTCTATATTTCGTTTTTGGTGACCTAACCTGACCTTGACCTTGACCTTTGCATGATATTGTATGCAACGGATATTGTCTTGGTAACCTAAGAACACGTTTTGGGCAATCAGTCTCAGTCCATTCTTCGGCAACTACGGTGCAAGGCCGATACTGTAGGTATAAACTTGCATTTTGTACCCTTGACCTGCCCTTGACCTGACCTCTGACCTACTTAAGCAAAAAAATTGGCTCTTAGGATCCGCTTGTTGAGAGCTTTCAATTGCCGTTTTCCCCGTCTTTCTACGACCATCGGTTCGGAAGTTAGACAGGGGGCAGAATCTGCCCCCCCCCCCCCCCAGCAGGGCGCATATAGGCTGAATAGCCCAGCGGGGCGCGGGTTAAGCATAGGTGATAGGGAAAGTGGAATACACGTACATAAGCTTCAGCCCTGTTCATTGCCGGCTATGCTTTACGTCACTTGTTTAAACTTCGTAGTATGCTGAGATATCGGTGCTGATGCTTTCCAGAGACATAACTGTAGAGCGAACCTATAGTTATATATTATTGGTAAGAACTAAGCACAACTTAAGATATAAAAATCAGTGCCCTTAAATCCATCGCACCCTACGCCTCACGGATTGGATAAAGCTAAAAAACCGGCTTCACCAATGCCACGTCCAGCCAGCGAGCTCACTTCCTTCGGTGCACTGGCGGTCGCAGGGGGGGGCCACGGGGGCCATGGCCCCCCCTTTGGTGCTGAAAGGTGGGGCCATACTATCTTTTGGCCCCACCTTTCAGATCGAACAAAAGTCCTAGAAAAGCTTTTCGTATGTTTCATTTTCTTTCTTGCGCCATCAAAGGACGTAAATTTCACTCATGAGTGTGCTCAGTTTCGCATTCTGTCAATTTGGCGGTCAGCGTCGCTGGCACCGGTTCACGAGTATGGCCGGATCTTATATGGAATATCAGCGTGGGTTTACTTGAGGCTCTCGTAGGCCCAGCATTCAGCAATGGCTGGCATGAGACCCTCTTCGGCAGTGGCGGGTGGGCCCTGCTAAAGGAGATTGGCTCCAAGACACTAAAGTAAGACCTCATGGGTTGGTGCTGTGCACCTCAGAAGCCCGGTGGTGACGCCCTATGCCGGCTTGGTTTCTTAAGGATTAGCGTGGGACCTCCGGGGCCTGCATAGAGTTTGCATGAGCTAGTATGTAATCTCAGAGGCATGTGTGTAATGTGTACACAGTGGCGGTCGCGGGGGGCCGGGGGGGCATCAGGGCCATGCCCCCAAAGGTCAATAAAGGGGGCCATCATATCATTTGCCCCCCCCCCCCCTCAAACAACCAATGGGCCCCCATATAGGTGTATGGGGCCCTGGCAATTATTCGATCGTCACGAGGCTAAAAAAAACCACGCCCAGCTTTTAATATAGCTCCCACACCGGTCTTTGAACGTCCTACACTGACCTCTGAGGGAACTTCAGTGGCGGTCAAGCGCCCACGTTGACCTCTAAGAGCCTACATCAACCTCTGAGGCCCCACATCTGGCCTATGAGGGCCCCTAACCGGCCTCAGGGGTCCCAACCGGCGTCTGAGGGTCTCACACCGGTCTCTGGTGGCCTTATTTCTGTCTCTGGTGTCCCAAGACGAACCTTTAGGTGCCAATAAGGGCCTCGCACTGGCTGCTGAAGACCCGATGCCGGCCTCTAAGGGTCTGCATTGGCCTCTGAGGAGGGCCCATCTTGGCCTTTGAGGGCCCTCTGCTGGCCTCTGGGGTCCAACGACGGCTCATGCCGGTCTTTTAGGGCCCCACGCTGACCTCTGAGGGCCCATGCTGGCCTGTAATGAGTAAGGACCCACATTAGCCTCTGAGAGCCCAACTCAGTCTCTGATGGTCTCAAACTACTGGCCTTTGTAGTTTGCAGGCCCTGTACTGGTCTCTGAGGGCCCTAAACTAGTCTCTACATGAAAACATACATGGGTGGGTTTCTGAAGATCAGAGGGCTCACGCAGTCTCCGGCACAGCCTTACGTTGGTCCTGATCGAGATTGCTTTACGTCCTGATGGTCCCGCGCTGATTCCCTCATATTTCGAGGTCGGGAGTCGGGACCCCATGAGCCGGTGTGGGTCCTGGGGCTGGCAGAGACTGATGAAGTCCTTAGGGCTCAGGGCCAGTCTTTTTAGCAGTAGGACTAGGCAGGTTGAGTGAGCCCCAACAGAGCCGTTGCGAAGCCCCGCAGGAGTCGCGCGCGGCCCTCAGATGCCAATTCTGAAAGCTCGGAACCTGTGGGGGTCTCCAGAGGCCGGTGTACCTACTCTCTCCCGCCGCCACACAACTAGGTACCTATATGGGTAAATGTCATAGTCTAAAAATGCTCTCTGGGTTTCACATGCTTGTTCAAAGCAAGAGGTATCTGTACTTTTTAGCAAGATGTATCTGTACTTTTCCGAATTGTTTTATAGTGGTAAGGTCATGAATCCGCGTGCCTGACCTTCCAGTATACCTATGCAGTATGCTACACCGATCCGTCGTCATGGACGGTGCAGCGGCCCGACCGGTGGGCACACCGTGAGACGGTAAATGGAACTGGTATTGAGCTCAAAGATTTCACGCAAGAATGAGATGGATGAAGCATAAGTAATGCCAACTGTGCGGCGCCTCGCGGACGTAAAAAATTAGCCGATCACCCCTCTCCCCCCCCCCCCTCCCGGTGACGGATAAATGTTATGTCCCGCAAGTGTGACTTTGGCCCCCCCTTTTGCTAGCGGCTGCGACCGCCAGTGCTTCGGTGTGTGTTCCGATACCCATGATGTGAGAGCGACTAGAGCAAGCACTCGCGTTCGCTCATTCTGCAGAGGAACGGCCTGGTATCGGTGCAGGGGATGTCGCTCGCCCCGGTCGGCGACAGCTGCACGCAGTTCTCCCGTTCGGCTCCGTTCGGCTCGCCGGTCGCCCAGTCGATGGACCAGGCGGTGCCGTCCACGGCCTGAAAGGAGCCCTCGGCGGCGGAGTCGGTGATGCCGATAAGCACGTCCGCTCCCATCGACAGGCTGCGGTGCAGGATGTGGAAGAGGCCCATCTGCGGCACCACCGCCAGCCTGGCTGTCGGCTGCAGGCTGGTACAGTGGGCGTCTGCGGCCTCCCAGGCCATCGGCGCGGAGACGTAGTGGTAGCAGTAGTGGTCCAGGGCCAGCCAGTCTTGCGGACAGGGCGCCTGAGAGAGACAGCCAACGGTAGGGGACTCGCATATGTAGTGAGGCTTAGCATCACTGCAGCTTAGCGTACCCCAGGTACTAACATCTAGCCGCCATCTGAGGTTGAGACAGCTATTGACGGTGACACTCGTGGGTGGTACCGGATTTTGAAACGATATGGCTGTCCCGTCCAGGTCGGTATACACACCACTCTGGTACTTCAGTCCTATGAATTCAGCTGACGTCTTGCGAGAGGGATGGAAGAGCATCCAGCTGGCCTCCGCGTCGTCGTTTGGTGTCGCCAGGGTGACGTCCTCTCCGAGGCCCTGGCACGCCTGCCGGCTCTGGCTCCTGATCAGCGAGACCGACGACGTCTGCCGCAGGAAGCACCTGTCTCGGAACGGGTGCCAGCCGGCGCGGCAGGGCGCCGCCGGCGGCGGGGTGTAGTCGACCTCCGTGACTTCCACCGCCGGCGGAGAGCTGAACGTGCCGCCCGACAGCCGGCACCGTCCGTCGGCCGTGAACGTGAAGCCCCCGCAGCCGGACGTCCTGTTGCACCAGGCGGCGCAGCTGAGACGAGACGGCGCCGCGGACTCGGACAGAAGTCCTGCGGAGAATGCATCCGACCTGCGGACGTACGAGGCGCCGGCCAGCAGTGCGCAGCTGAGGAGCAGCACGGCCAGGGGACGGAGCGCGTCCATCGCGGCCGGCGACCGACGCGCGTCTGGGCGGCTACCAACGTAGCGACCGAAAACAAAGGTAAACGGCCCGTTGGCGTGGTTCACGGTACCATCACTTGGAGTTCACCCGTAAAAGAATATCCGGCCGTCAGTTTGATGGATGGCGCTATTGACCTGGAGACTGTGAACTCAAGATCGATCCATACCACTTTTTCGTGAAGAATTTGTCCGAGCGGCGCCGGGCTTACCAGCCTACCGCATCGAGCGCGAGTTGAGGGGAATTTCAGTAAATATTTACAATTCAAAAACATTCGATCCTTCGATAATAATCAGGCTCACGTAACCGAGTAGATATTCATATGTCTAAGGCCGCGCATTTGATAAACTTGATTTACCTGATGCCGGAATATCCCCAGTGAGTTACGACTGAATGCGAATACTACGATAGTTTTATAGCCTTGACTATGTACGAGCATAAAACATCCATGACTATTATATTTCCGTGCCATCCACCGTTTTAAACACGCATAACATTGGCCACATCGTGGCAACGACCTTCTTAGTCACTTTATCATTTGGGATAGAAAGGAAGGTACGGTGTACTGTGCATCTACAAACGATGTTATTATTAAGTAACTACAGCTTTTCGGCTTCACATACCGGTTTATTGCATAGCCCATGCTCCAAACATCGAGCACCCAGCATGCCTATAAGTCCAGCATATCCTAAAAAGGCACATGTTAAAATAAAACCCATGCTTAGCTAACCTAACTACGACTTGATGTACGTAACGTAATAGGTGTCTAAAGTGGTACCTACCTACTAGCCGTTTTCACGACGGCCATCTGGTACACATTTGGTGCAGATTAGGCGCAGATTTGGTCAAATTAGGTTCAGCGTGTCTCTTAGTAGCTATCAGCTAGGGTTGCACTAATTGCTTATATGTCTGCTTTATCATCTTATTAGAGAATATCATCGATTAAAATACCGAGATAAATTAGTTAAATGAAAATATTTGCTGTAAAAGAGATTAGGTGCAGATTTGGTCAAATTAGGTGCATTCGCCGGACAGCCCGCCGTGAAAACGGCTAATTTAATTTATATGTTAGTGCAAGTAGAAGTGCGGATAGTAACTCGCCACGTCATTCATAGGCCCGTGGTACAAACAAATTCGTCGAATGCGACATTATTATTATATTATTCACACTCAAAAAGAATATGTACACTGGCTTATACCTATCTTCTATCTACATTGACATCACAGATAATTGTACAATAGATAATTCGCCCGATTCATAGGACCATATTGGCGGAGAAGTCCCGGGCAGGCGGCCGTTTCCGCACGAGCAGCACGTCGTGTATGAGCGCCATGGGCTGCTCCCGACCGGGGAACTTCCACAGGTCTCCGGCCGCCAGCGGCGCACTGTGCACCAGCTCGAACCCGAGCAGCTCCAGCTGGCGCAGCGCGCTCCCCAGCATCCGGTAAAAGGTCAGCTCGCGCTCCACCCGACTGCGCAGCTGCAGCCGCAGCGACATCTGGTCGACGCGGTCGAGCACGAACCGGCGGCGGCGGCGCGACTTGGGGTCCAGCAGCTGGTCGAACAGCATCTCCGTCTCCAGGCCGCCGAGGTCGGAGCGCAGGTAGTGCACCTGATGCTGCGTGTGGTTCAGCTCGCGCATCAGACCGTCCAGCGTCAGCACCAGGCCGCCTGACGCCACGTAGGTGGTCCGGCCCACGCCCAGCCGCCGGAACAGCACGTGGTACGAGTGCTCGCCCTCAGGCTCGGCACGCTCGCGATGGTCGAGCACAAACACGTGACAGTCCCGGCGTGCCATCTGCTCGGCGAATGTCCAGTCGCCGCCGGCTATACCGAGCTGGTAGACGAGACAGGGCGTGCGTCGTCCACCGGCCACCGTCGGCGGGTCGGCGCACACGGGCAGCTCGGGCCGCACGCCGTTCCCGGAGCGGCGCGGCGCGCCCAGCATCTGCAGCCGGTCGCAGCGGCCGCTGGCGCTCTGCAGCCAGGCGGTGATGCCTCTTAGCAGCGCCAGCTCGGCCGCCGAGAACTGGGTGTCGTTCCAGGCGGAGGCGCGCCACACGCCCGAGCCGGGCTGCGTCTCCTCCATGACGTACTCGGTGAGCACCATGGCGCGCAGGTCAGCCGACGGCGCCTCCGTCGGAGCCCCGGTCGAGTGTCGCACCACCACACTGTGCAGAGACGGAGGGTGGAGCGGTGCTGGGCTGAACACCACTGGGGGCCGACCGCCGCCCCTGAGCGGCTCCTCCGACCTGTCCAAACACAAACAGACGCGTCAAACACACCGGCTCCTCCGAACTGCACAAACACAAACACACACCTCAAACACACCGCCTCCCTCGAATTGTGCAAACACAAACATATGCGTGAAACGGGCAGTTTCCTCTATAATTTGTGTCAACACAGGTAGGTGAAGCAAGTGTCGAGAAAACGTGATGCGATTCACTAGTATGCAAATACGAATGACTTTCACTGTTTCATATGTGCACATGGCATGAAGGAGGCAGCGTTTATGTGACCACAAAACATGCGCATTTATATGCTACGGTGCAAAAGTGGGCGTTCTACCCACTTTTCTAAAAAAAAATGTTTTATTAAAAAAAACGGAATACATGTAAATTTCCTCGAATTTAATTTTCGGCTTTTCCCAATGCACCTTTATGATGGTACAATAATATAAAGTAACAATGCGAACATTTATGCATCACAGTGAAACGACGGTCGCTGTATTACTTGCTTTATTCACTGCTTTATTCCTGCCCCGCCCCTCCGTTTCACTCCCTCGCGGAAAACTTACCAAGGCTGGCGCCTTTCAAAGCTGTTGAGCACGAAGAGAGTGCCGACTCCCGTCAGCAGCAGCGAGAGAGCGAGACGGCGGCGCAGCGGGCGCATGCTCACCCTCCTGCAGCCTGCAGGTGTGATTCACCCGGTCCCGGTATAGGTCACCTGCACTCTGCAGTCTCGGTGCAACATGCATGCAGCTCCGGTGGGACTCTTAGATACGTTCCATACAAATCTGACGTCTTCGTGTCGTGCAGTTTTCTCTCAGCGAGTCGGGCTGGATAAGTCCGGATGAAGCACAGTATTTATTTGCGTTACGCGTGCTGTATGCGTCTAGCGTAGGTACGAGTCCGAGTCGAAAGTCTGAGAAAGGTCCGATTCGAGTCTCGGCAGTCAGGGTAGAATCCAGCAGAGTCCAGCTCGATTGGATCGAGTCTGGCGCGAGTACGGGTCGAGTCTGACTAGCATCCGGATCGAGTCCAGGTCGCCGGCCCAGTCTGGTTGGTGTACCGCTAGAGTCCGAACCGACTAAACTCAGGTCACTGCAGCAGGCCGCTCGGCCACGCCCAGCCGACGGATACGAGTTCGTCGATAGCCAAACACTACCACAGCACGTGAGCACAGGTCGCGGGGGTGCGCCACAGCGAGAGGCATGCGATGCACTGCACTGCGCGGGCCGGACGGGCATACGGCCGCACCGTGTGCTGCTTTCTCCAGCGGCGGCGGTGGGTTGGCTATTCGGCACACCGCTGCATCGTGCCGCCTGGGAGACCGGCAGCCGGTGGCCGCGGACACGCGCCGGCACCGCACCGTCGCACACTGGTCGGAAACGCCCTCATGAGAGGCCATGGGCGATTCCGGAGTTTTGGATGATTTTTTATATAGATCGATTTGAAATTGATCAAATTATTATACTTAGGCCAAAAAAACTAATCCGGGTGACTAAAAATAGCTGTAATCAGCCCCCGAAGATGGGGTATTCCAGAACTCGGAAACTGACGCGGAGCAAGAGGTTTCTTGAGCCGGATATTCAGAGTCTTATTGCTGACAGACATTAAATTGAAATCCCACATATTATGCATCAAAATGTTCGTTATGAAGTTGCCGACTGGTCAGTGCAAAATTTTTGGTATACTTTTTCCCTAACTAAGATGTACTATAGCTTTTTTATGAAGGCTCTTCTACAGTGATTCTGGAATATAACTGCAAAGTTTAGGTAAGGAAACAACAGGTAGTCCCATCTAGTTCCACTCTGATTTTTTGTGAGATGAAGTAGGATTTAAATTTACACCAGGGCAACATAAAAGCTAACTGCGCATATTTGCGCAAAATTTGCAGGAGCCGCTCTTCCTACCCAACTACCGCCCGCCCCGCCCCAGTTTCGGCTCGGCCGCCGCGCCCGGCTTACGCTGACCTGTGTGGCCTGCACGCATCCATGCGTAGTTGACTGGTCATTAAAAACAGATGCGCTTGAGTTTATGAATTTTGTGAAAAGCGCGTTTTATGTATGCATTTATGTATGTATTGACATCAAAAGCCTTCCACATATTGCGTGGCGATTACGGCTTGCATTTAGAGAGCCTTGCTATTGACAACCATCACTCGGCTGAAGAAAGTGGAAATTGAAGCCTTCGTGAATATAAGACGCTGCAAATATAGGACACCTGTCACTGACGTCGGGTTACCTTGGGCCGTCTCTTTACATTAGATCACAATTCCGGTATTTAACCCTGGCCGGACCGATTGGTTTTCTACATTGACCGGAGAGGGTTGGTACAACTCCCTCGCCGTTTCGCCTCTAGTTGAGCTAGAGCCTCGCGGAAAAAAACAAGCTTGTGTGCCGTTATAAGACGCAAAAATTAGGTACTACCCGATTTTAAGGTCTTAGGTCAGCCAGTGACCTCTTAGGTCAGGTAAGTGCCACAAGGCACGGGCTCGGTTTTAGGTTAGGGGAAGTTGGGGCAATGCCGGAGTTGGGGCAAAGCCGAAATTCGAGATATTTCGAAAACCGTAAGACATGGATGCCACCTGTCAGTGATGCTCTGAAGCTTAAGTGACTACAATTATCGCATGTTTGTTACGAGTCGTCATTCGGAATACTTCGACTGTGAGGGCGCCAAGAGCGTTTTCAAGGTACGTTTCCCTTGTACTACATGCGCCTTTGAAGCTGCATTTCTTACTCATTATGCTACCGTTTGTCTGGCCAATTCGGTCAAGTAATCTTTAGCATGTCTTTGCATAAGTGTGCTGCCTATTTGAAATTTATACAGCACGTTGAAAAGTTATGGGCCTGCAAATGAAAGTATGGCAGGTTGGGGTAATGCCGAAAACGTGCGATTACGCACGTGTTAAAAGCACGCTACGTGGACTTTACTGCTGTAGAATAGCAACGCGTATTTTTAGTCACACAAATTACACTTTCAACCGACACAACGGCCTGTTACCTATAAGGAATGATTTACCTGGCATGTTTTTATTATATCACACAATTATAACTTCCAGTGTGCACCGCGTCCTCAAGCTCTTAAAACGCGTGTCAGCTTTGATCAATTCTGGATAAAGTTTGAGATAAAATGGCAAAACATCAATGTCGGCATTCCCCGTAGATCATTTCTCCCATTTTCGGCTTTCCCCGCAGTCCGGGGCAACGCCGAAAAAGTCACTTCTTTGATATTTTTAGTTTGTGCGCTTAACGGTATGCGAATTCATCAAATGCGCCTGGTATGTTTGAAAGGCAAAAGACTGGCCTCTCGAATGACGCCAACAAGAATAGCTTATGTTGTCTACCTTGCGTGCTACGGGCGTCAGAAAAAAAGTCTTCGGCGTTCCCCCAACTTCCCCTAATTACTTTGCCAAAAATGGTCGCACTGCCGCGATTTTGGCATAATCGTGTTTGTCTAGCTCAGGCGCGTTGAATGCTATACTTGGTGTTCGGGTGACAGTGTGGCCAAATTGGTTTAGCGTTAGGGGGAGGATGTATAAAAAAGTTGTATGAGGATGTCACTATTTTCAAAAAAAAAAACTCGTCTTCAGTGTCATTTTAGGTGCAGTTTTTACAAGTTATGTGGAAAAACTATACCTGACGTCAAGCTCTGGTGGAAAGTAAAAAAAAAATCAAATATTGTCATCAAAGATGAAAAAACATTGCAAGCGTGACAGTACGAGTATGACGGTGTGAATCGTACATTGGAACATTTTTAGTCTTTATTCCTTCACTAGGTATGCTTTCACAACAAAAACGTTGTGATGATGTAATTTTAAAATTTCTGAGGATGTCATTATACTTTTCATTGGGGGCGACTTTCCCCGCAACATCACCAATTTGGCCACACTGTCGGGTGAAGTCAACTTAACCCTCGCCGGCACAGGCCATTTTGCGTCCTTCGACGGCACAAGGGGGGGGGGGGGTACGACTCCCCCCTCTCGCGTTTGGCCCCTGATTGAGCTAGAGCCTCGCGGAAAAAACGAGCGTGTTGCCCGTTACGAGAGGAAGCCGATGATACCCAATTTTAAGGTCCTAGGTCATCAGGTGACCTTCCAGGTCAGGTCAATGACCCGAAAACCGGGAAAATCGGAACCTGTTAGAAAGTCGTAAATTGTGGCTGCTATGTGGTTTTCCGGGGTGCTGATCACGAATATTGTATTAGTTTTGATCAGAGATGATGTCTTTAAGCATTTAGACCAGGTCGGGTCAGGTCAGGTCAGGTCAACCGGTAGGGGTTGTGACGGGTATTCGTAATACGTGTCAACCGCCTCTGACAGCTTCGTAACATGTTACGAAGGCGCCAAAACTACTTCGTAAATGTTCAAATGGTTGCTAAATTAAAATTCAGCTCCAAAAACTAGCCTAGAAACATGTAAAACTCGAAAAAGTGAACCGAGGTCACCCGAGGTCACCAAAGGTCAATGACCTGACCTGACCTTCAGGTGACCTTGACACCCATCCTAATGTATGGGAGCAACATCAAATCACATGTTTGAGCTTCTGAAACCACGAAAAGCTTGCAAACGCGCAGCTAATGCGAGCCGACATACGCCGAATCGCGATTTCGGCCAAACATGGTCACGGAAAAGAGGTCACAGGTCAAAGGTCATTGGGGTCAGGGTCATGAAATTTTCAGGGTAGGTGTAAAATTGATCAATGCGAGGGTACTGAAAGTTTCGTCGCGATCGACCGCTTTTTACGCGAGTTATTCGCGAAAAACCTTAGGGGGGGTTGCATCAACCCCCCCCCCTGTGCCGGCGAGGGTTAAGGTGTTAACCTCGGGTCAAGGTCAGGTCAGAGCCCCTCAGGTCACGAAAATGGTTGAAGGAAGTCATATCGCATATCATTCGATTCGGCAGGTCTTCCTGAGTCCAATGGTGGCTTTCCCGACTCTCTAGCTCCATCTGATCAGGAGTTATTGACGAAAAACTTACATGGCCTTAGTGACGTCATAAATGACGTCACGCAAAGTCAACAATGCTTAAGTCAAGCACTGGACCTTGCAAGGAGTGCATGAAACCATTCCCGGTGCCCGAATAGCAGCTCCCAATTTCCCTTGTTGACTTAAAGTGGTGCTAGATCCTGTATTATACTTAATTATGACGTCATAACTTAACAGATTCACGTCATATATTTAGTGCTTGACATCCAAATGATAGCTTACATATGACAGAGAAGGTATGCAAAGTTTTATGAAGTTTGCTTCACTAGTTGTGGAATAACAAGCAAAAAACTTTTGCGGAAAGGCCGCTGGCCTCGCGCTGGAGCGTTTCCGACCAGTGTGCGTCGCGTCGTGACCTAGCGGACTGGAACGGTGGACGAATGGCGACCGCGGTCGGCAGCGGCACAGCTGAGCGTCGACCGTGCAAAAGATGAGCCGATGCAGTGTGGACAGAGCTCCTGCACGGGAAATCTGACCTCGTTCCACGACGCTCGAATAGATTATGTATGCGGTTTAGTGGGAACTGCAGGCTTCGACCCCGTTCGATTGTTTATTTTCGTTTTTTATTTTTATTTGTAAAACAGTTTCAACCACCTGTTACGTGAGGTAGGAGCTCTGTTAAAATTCGACAGCCCGTTATCCCAAATTTGAAATTCTATAAAAAGTGTATTGGAGGAAAGCCTTTACGGCGCCCTCACCTCTCACCGTCGGTTTCTACCCCACCAAGCAACAACAGCGGTAAGCGGCACAAGAAAGTAGGTAAAACAAATAATTCAAAGTAGTTCCTCGGTCATGAACGAGCATAGTCACTGATCACTAACTGGACGGGGGCTTCGCGCAACAAACTAGCGTGTGTGTTACGTGACGTAGCAATGCGTACCCAATCGCTAGATCTCAGGTCAACCGGTGACCTCCGAGGTCACCGGTCACCGTTGCAGCCTCTAAAGTAGGTATGGGTTCGTCTTTTTTGGCGAATAACTTCGCCATACATGGCTGCAGAACTGCGATGTTGGCACCATCGTGTTCGCCATGTTCCGGTGTATTACATGATATACTTTCTGTTCGGTAGAGGTCATTTTACTGTGTTGACCTGAGGTCAAGGTCAGGTCAAAGCCGCTTAGGTCACGAATTGGTCGAAGGATCAAGGATGTCGTGTTGGATGTCGCTCTCGCTCGATTCAGGAACTCTTAGCGCTTTTATCGGTGGCTTTCCAGCCGCTTACTTAATTTGATTGGAAGTTATTGACAAAAACTCTTATGACCGGCTCAGTGACATCATGCAAAGTCGACGATGCAAAAGCGAAACATTGGACCTTTCAAGGGGTGCATGAAATCACAATTCCATGTCCTTGACCTTGAGGTAGTGTAAGACCGTTCCCAGCG